TACGCCGCTGGGACCAACTCCGAAATCTGCACAAGAAGTGCAGAGTGTAGTATCAGTACAACCATCCCATGTACTGGTAAGTGCTGAGCCTAACCTCGATGAAGTAGTGATGAGGCTAAGGCGGTTCACTTACATTAACCTGTATGCAATAATAGTAACAACAACAAATAATAGAAATAATCAGGTAACTCATTTATAANTTTTAAATAAGTTTGTTGCGGCGTGCACCCCAATCCTCCAATATGGACTTTTAATAAGTCTATTGCGGCATGCAACCCGATCCTCCAATATGGGCTTTTAATAAGTCTATTGCGGCGTGCAACGCGATCCTCCAATATGAACTTTTAATAAGTCTGTTGCGGCGTGCAACCCGATCCGCCAATATGAACTTTTATTAAATCTGTTGCGACGTGCAACCCGATCCTTCAATATGTTCTTTTAATAAGTCTGTTGCGGCGTGTAACCCGATCCTCCAATATATCCATTTCAATCAATTCTGTTGCGGCATGCAACCCGCTCCTCCAATATATTCATTTACCAATTCTTATAGAAGAAATTTCCTTAATAAATGCAACAATTAATATAAAATTATAAGACAACAAGCATACAATAATTATGAAACAAACAATGACAAATAGCAAATTATTATGAAAATCAGGGAGAAAATAGGATGTTTAATATTTAATATACTAAATGTCAAATAACAATTAAGACACATAATTCAAATAGCATGTAACAATTAATGCAGAAATTCAAGGATTAGTATTTGACAAAGAATATGAGAGAAATAATTATTATAGTAATTAATTCATGATTTAAAATGATCTATGATTTTTCAAGTAATTATGCAAACAATTAATTTGACGACGTATAGACACTCGTCACCTCTCCTATACGTCGTTCACATGCATTTCACATAACAAATAGTTTAAGGGTTCTATTCCCTCAAGTCAAGGTTAACCACGACACTTACCTCGCTTTGCAAATTCCAATCAATTACTCGACTACAACTTTTACTTTTAAATTTGTCTCCAAAATCTTCAAATCTATTCACAAACAATTCGATATACTCAATACGAATCATAGGAATTAATTTCATATGAATTTACTAATGTTTCGAATAAAAATCCGAAATTTATTTAAATATTCGACAGTGAGACCCATGTCTCAAATCTCAGAAATACTTACGAAATCCGAACACCCATTCCGATACGAGTCCAACCATACAAAAATTATCCAATTCCGATATCAAACGGACCTTCAAATCTTAAATTTTCATTTTTGGAAGATTTTATAAACATCTGATTTTTCTTCCCTAAATTCACGGATTCATGATGTAAATGAGTATGGAATCATGAAATATAATCAATACAAGATATAGAACACTTACCCCAATGTTTTCACATAAAAATCGCCAATAAATCGCCTTACCCGAGCTCAAAAATGGAAAAGGGTTGAAAATGGGACGAATCCCATTTTTCAGAACTTAAGTTCTGTTTCTGGAACTTTTACCCTTCCCGAACGCAGTCAATGCCTAGCGTTCGCGAAGCACAAATTCCTGCTGACTAATTTTACTCTTCGCGAATGCAAGGGCTACTTCGCGAATGCGAAGCTTGCCTGGCTTGGCCTTCGCGAACGCGAGATGCCCTTCGTGAATGCGAAGGTAATTTTCCTGGCCAGCCCCTTTTCCTTCGCTAACGCAAGGCTTCGTTCGCAAAGCTTCACACCTCAACCCTTCGCGAACGCATTCACTATGTCGCGAACGCGAAGCCTAAAATGTGCCAGCCCCAATTTGCTCTTCGCGTTCACGAGAGAGCCTTCGCGAACACGATGAAGAACACACCAAAAGCCTGAAGTCTACAGAAAACCAGATTTCCTAAGTCCGAAATCAACCCGTAGTCTATCCGAAACTCACCCGAGCCCTCGTGGCTCCAAACCAAAGATGCACCCAAGTCCTAAAACATCATACGAACTTGCTCGCGCTATCAAATTGCAAAATAACACCTAGAACTACGAATCAAATACCAACTCAAAGGAAATTTACAAGAAAACTTTAAAATTATATTTTCACAACTGGACGTCCGAATCACGTCAAATCAACTCCGTTTCATACCAAATTCAGCATGCAAGTCATAAATATTATATCGGACATATACAGGGCTCCGAAACCAAAATACGGACCTAGTGTCAATAAGTCCAACATCAGTAATTTCTTAAAATTCATTAAGTTTTCAAGCTTTTATTTTTTCATAAAAATTGCATATCTCAAGTTAGGAACCTCGGAATTCGATTCCGGGCATACGCCCAAGTCCCAAATCATGATATGGACGTAGCAGAACTGTCAAAACAATGATACGAGTCCGTTTGCTTAAAATGTTGACCAAAGTCAACTCAGTTGAGTTTTAAAGTTCTATTTCACATTTTAATTTTCCAAAATATTATGCGGACTACGCACGCAAGTCGAGGAATAATAATTAGTGCTTTTAGAGGTCTTAGAATATAGAATTATTTATTAGATTTAAAGATGACATTTTGGATCATCACATCTTCGACTCTGATTTTTGATTGATACCGATTATGTACATCGGTCCAGGTAACGACATGGTATTCTATCAGGCTTTGCTTTAACTGTTGCGAAGCCACCAAGATTCGAATGTTGAGTCCTTGGGTGAAATCCTGAACAACCCAATCATCAGCGACTATCGGCAGATCCATTCGTTCCATTTAAAAACCGGACACTAACTCCCTGAGCATCTCGTTCTCCTTTTGTTTGGCTTTGAAAAGGTCTGATTTCCAGGTTACGACCTTGATGGAACTGTCACGTGCTTTTAGAAAGAGTCTGCAAGCATATAAAATGAGTCAATAAAATTAGCAGGTAAGTTGTGATACCATATTATGGCTCTCTTCGACAGGGTCTCCCCAAACTTTTCAGCAAAATAGACTCGGTTTCGTCGTCTTCCAAGTAGTTCCCTTTGATGGCACATGTATAAGAGGTTACATATTCGTTTGGATCGGTATTTCGGGCATACAAAATTTCTTGGGGATTGGTTTTGGGGCCGAGCTTGGAGGAAAAGATTTTTGCACAAACTTCTTGGAATCCAGTCCCTTCAATATCGGTGGTGCTCCTGGGATTTGATCTACCCTAAAATTATAGGTTTCAACCTTTTTATCGTTCGCTTGATCTTCTTTTCCCCTGACTCTATCCGCTTTGTCAACTCTTTGAGCATTTTTATAATTTCGGNACTATCACTACCTGTTGAGAGCTTGCAGCATTTCGAAGACCATGCACAGGCTAATCCCGTCTTCTTTAGTGTTTTGTGTGTTTCAAGCTGCAGATCGGGCTCCACCACAGACTTGTTTTCAAGGTCGTTACGCAAGTTCGCTTCGATGGCCACATGTGAAGTTACATCAATTGGATCCATAGTCTGAATTCCAACGATATTAGCGTGTGGCCCCGCATTAGCGGGCACGTTATTGTTATTCTCGCCTTGATGACCGGTTTCGTTGTCGATATGTAGTGGTGCTAATGGAGAGTTTGTCATGTTTTGGCCTGAAATCAAAGATACTTCAAAGAAAAAGTGTAAAGTAGTGTGTGTTATGAAGATTTGTATCAAATAACCACTGTTATCCTTATCCCCATGGTGGACGTCAAATTATTTACCCAAAAAATCGGATAACAATTGAATTTATACGCGGTTATAAGGATACATGATCTAGTTTGATACAAAGTGAGAAATCAAGTTTAATATGAAATAATAAATAAATAAAAAATACAAACCATGCAGATTGAATAACTTAATTCTCGTAGGATTAACTTCCTTCGAATTTAGGAGAGATATTATTGGGGCCGTAATATTATTGAAGCTAAAACAATATGAACAAAGCTGAAAAAGATAGTATGTTGTTCTTTGAAGTATGTTACAATGTCCCTAATGAATTACTCCATTTCCTTTACATATACGGGGAGATGAAACCTTTAAGACATTATTTTATAAGAAATTATGTAGACCGTTGCCTCCCTTTTTGACTTAATCCCGTAATCTCCGCCATAATGATTGGTCAATGGTGAGAATCACAGATACTTGTCGTGTGAGTTGGCAAAGCTTTTCTTCGAGGTCGTTAGAAGCGGGGTCGGTCATGCCCCCGATAAACTCGATGGCAAATCTGATGGTCTTGTTTGAACTTCGACCCTCGATATCGAGCTCAGTTACATCTGTAACTTCGATCTCTTACGTAGGTGTCGAGACTTGACCTATTGTTCCAGATGTCTCGATCAAGCATAGAGCTCGGTTCTACCCGTACACACTGTTACATAGATAAGCATAAATAAAATCTTTCTAACTAATTTGACTGCTGTAGATATGCCATCATCTTCAGCCTTTTGTATAAACTGATCTGAGACATATATTATCTTGTTTAAGCGTATGTTCAAAGGCAGAGCCATGATTTGAAGTTTGTGAATTCTGAAACTGCCACCGAACTCATAGCTCGTTTGGTTACTGGGTTCACAATAAAATATTTATACATATTTAATTGATTTTTAAAATAAAACAGGGTCTTAGCAAAGTTACCGGGTTCGTCCAAAACCATAAACAATACGCTACCTCCGCCCCTGTGTATGTCAACCTATTTTGAGTCACTACTTTGAATAAATGTTGCGTTAAGCTTCTTGCATATCTTGTTTGCTGTCATATCAGCTGGATGCTAAACTGCAGTAATGAGAAATAGGTTTTCCGGTTTATAGTTAAAGTAGGTTTTGCAATACTGCAGTGGATACTTCTGTTTGATTCAAGAGTCCATTAAATTGAGAAGAGTCAATACAGTAGCTTTAGATGCCTTCATACAATTATTTTCTTGTATTACTAACTTTCCACTTACAAGAAACAAAGGTTATTCTCCAGGAGGTTATACCAAGAAAATTTATATACCTGATTATGTGGGAAACTGGACAAAGAAAACAACAAAGGTAATAAGATCAAGGAAATTTAGCAATACAGATGTTAAACCTGAAAATGCAAAGAGATACTTTTTATTTATACGCCATTCAGTATCTGTGCACCCAAACTATGTGAAAACGAGAATTAACAACAACAACATATCCGGTATAATCCCACATAGTGGGATCTAGGGAGGACAGTATATACACAGACTTTATCCCTACTTTGTGAAAATAGAGAGGTTGTTTCAATAGACACTCAGTTGAGGAATGAAAAACTAAAACCAGAGTTGCTTAAGATATTACTATAACGAAAACGGCTTGGTGTACACATCAAATGGCTCATTCGCAGTTAACTGGGGCTCCTGCAACCAAAAGGTAAAAGTATAAATTTTCTAGCAATCGATTAATTTTAATCTTCATCCTCTTTACACTTGAAAGAACAAATTCAATTTCTTTACCTGTCTTTCCCCACTGCCAAGGCTTCCTCCATTTATTAGCATTGTGAGAAGAGTTGTAACAATTTTTCCTCCTAAATCACTATCAGATCTGCGGATTGAAGTTCTCATTGCATTTAGAATACTTCCATATGTTGTTCCTTGTCCGCGTTCAATTGCTTGTATGAAAGAAAAAGTCATTGCACCAGTTGAAGTAACCTTGGACAAATTCTGTTTATCAATTATAAGTCATTTAATTAGCTTTGCTTAGGTTGATTAACTCTATTTATTTGAAAGAAAGATCAAAACATTAGATGAAAAAAAAAAGAAGAATTTTACTTCTGTTTCTTTAGAGTTTTGATGATCATCGCAACCACTGAAGGATATAACCTCTCCTCCATTTGTTCCTTTCCATGCTCCTGATAGAGGACGATGATCTTCCCATACATATCGTCCAGTTCTGCATCCATAAAATTCTCTTATATCAACTAACCGAAGGTAGAGTTAAATATGTTAGGATCGAAATAATCATGTGTCATGTGGAAGGTAGCAAATCATACCTTGAACGACATTAAATCAGACAACAAAAGAGAAATATACCAAAAGAGATAAATATTTAATGTGGTTCGGTCAATTGACCTACGTCCACAGGCGGACATGAACAATCCATATAAAAGAGAGTACAAAATATCGAGAGAATAGCCTCACAAAGATGCAAACACAAGTGACAGTATAACACTTGTCTCACAAATTCTCTCCCTAAACAAGAGTCTCAAAACCTTTTGGGACTACATTATGGATGTTGCTGAATGAAAAAAGGAAGGATCCTCAATTTATAGAAGTCCAAACCTTTTCCTCCAAGAAAAAAGACTAGCCAAATTTGAGAGATTTATAATTTCCTTCTAGGAAAAGAAAAACCCTATTATAGTAAACATGTTGCCCTTTTAGGTTCTTCCTAAGATATGAAAATCAAATATGATAAGAAAATCAGCACAAATAACTAACAAAATACTACAAGACATTTGAGCATTAAGTTTCGTAGTTTTACAAACCTGCCCGTCCTACAAAGGAACGGCAAATCAAGCATAGTGCCACTGTGACAAGCATCTATTATGGCATGAAGCTTCGCACCAGGAGGAAGAGGTTTGACGAGTATTGCATTTAGTTCATCATCAACAATCTCTCCTTGTTTTTCATAATCCAATGGGCAAAGTGTTTCGTCGTAACCATCAATTTCATCTCCAGTGTCATTCTCTTGCTGTGAACCATGACCAGAAAAATGAAATACCAGAGAATCCCCTGCTTTAACTCCTTGCATAAGCCAGGACATTGCCTTTATTATATTATGTTTAGTTGGCATCCTCTTTTTATCTCTTTCTTCTTCTGTAAATATACTTCCAAGAAATGGAGATTTGAAGTTAGGACTGGTCATTTAGATACCAAAAATAACAAAGCTTAGAGAATAAAAACTTATATTCCAAAATATACTTTCTTATTGAAACTTAAAAGCATCTAAATTTCAATAACTTAGAAACACAACAGCGTGCCATCGCAATTAAGTGATAGAAGTTTATGTGAAAACACATATCACGCGTATAAGATTTGGCATAAATTGTTGGAAATAATCCTATATGTGGACTTAACATTAACTTTATTATTAGTTTTGTAAAACGGGCTAAACAAATATAGTTGGTGTATATGATTTAGGCCGCTTAACTAGTGAAAATAGCACGGATTACCCAGTTTTCAGACTGATAATTGAAAAATAGCCAACATTTACAAAATCATTGAAAAATAACCATTATTTTGCTGCAACACGGAAAGTTCCAACATAATATACTAGAGATTTGAGCATCTTTGTATAGATTTTCCTGCTGGACCAGTATATTATGCTGAAACTCTAGTATATTATATTGGAACTCTAGTATATTATGCTAGAACTCCAGTATATTATGCTGGAAGTTCACATGTAAAAAATTCGAACTCCTGTATATTATGCTGGAATATTTTCCGGATTTTGAATAGTATTTTCGTTCAATTTATTTTCACATGAAAAGTGGCTAAATTTCGATTACTTTTAAAACTGTGGCTATTTTTCAAATACCACTTGTAAATCTGGATATTTTTGAATTTCACCTGCTTAACTATTGGATTCCTTGTTGGGCCTGAATCACTTCTTATACGTAAAAATAGCACGGGCTAGCCAGTTTTCAGACTGGTCATTCAAAAATAGCCAGCGTTTGCAAAGTCATTGAAAAATAGCCACTATTTTGGTACAACATGGAAAGTTCCAGCATAATATACTGGAGTTCGGTGCACCTGTGTATGAACTTCCAGCATATTATGTTGGAACTCCAATACGGGAAAGTTTCAGCATAATATACTGGAGGTTGGAGCATCTGTGTATGAACTTCCAGCATATTATGCTGGAACTCCAACACGGGAAAAGTTTCAGCATAATATACTGGAGGTTGGAGCACCTGTGTATGAACTTCCAGCATATTATGCTGGACCGATATATTATACTGAAATTCCAGTATATTATGTTGGAGTATTTTTCGGATTTGGAACAGTGTTTTCGTTCAGATTTATCTTTACATGAAAAATGGCTAAATTTCGATTAATTTTAAAACTATAACTATTTTTGAATGACCACTTATAAATCTGACTATTTTTTAATTTCAGCCTACTTATACTAACGTGGGATTGACATTAGTGTATGCTTTGTTGTGGGCCCATGAGCCCATGATGGGAGGGCCCATTAAGTCAAGGTTTTAAGCCTATAAATATATGGCTAGGTCCCGAGGAAAGAGGAAGATCTAGCCTGTTCGTTCTCACAAAATTGGACCATGACAAAAACATGTACGCCTCTAAACTTCTTATTATGGTGTTTTTAGTCTATGCAATATTCTTGGAATGTTGTGAAATTCACTTACATAAACATCCGATGAAGGTACAATTTAAAATACATAAAATAGATTACATTCAAAGGAAAACTCATTTGACTTTTGAGATCTGAACTTCATCGAACAAATTGGGACGAAAGGAGTACTTAATAAGTAGAGAGAAAGAATATTTTACCAGTGAGCATGAGAATGGAGTCTTGAGGGAAATTGAATCGATTGACAAGCAAGTACTTCATACATTTGGCATCATTGATACAACCCACGAGCTCATCGTCAGTATTTTTATACGCAATACCAATAACCACAGCTCTCTTTCGGCCAAAAGGCGAAAGGAGTTGAGGATAATGGTACTTGTTGGCTAGTAGCTGTAGCCGGCTGCCAATGCGACTAACTGCATGGCAGACGGCACAGCGAATGGATTGAGCACCATTTGGGATTTGTAAGGTTGTATGGCAGTTAGTACAGTCCATTTTTAACGAAAAGAAGAATGAAATTTGATAAATATAGTTTAATAATATAGTCCTATGGTTTAATTTCTTGAAGATTGTAAGGAGTAAAGTAATAAGGAGTGAGTGTTGGTAGGAAGGACTTAGGAGATGATTGGCTACTCTGTTCTCTGGTTTAGCCTATTGTGGAGTAGCCTCTATTTATAGTAATTTCTAAAACAAGCACCTCAAAGACAAGTGAATACAAATTTTACATTAAGTTATTGACAACTGCATGCCCACCCAAAAGCAAATTTTACATTAAGTTATTCAAGCCGAACACTCGGGCTATACTGACCTGTGGTAATATAGGGTTTAGCGGGACCTTATCAGACTATAGAATAACCTAGAAGAATATACAGAAGAGGAAATAAACCTTAGTCTCGAAAATTACACGTAAAATGAATGAAACGACATGTTGACGGAAGGATAAGAAAATGTAAAAAAAAATAAAAAAAATTCTGAAGATAATCTTCTATTATTATTATGGACTCGTTTGTCCATACAGAATTTTCCTTTTTTAGTTTTTTTTTTAATTTTATCAAAACTTGTTTGGTTATATGTTAGAATGAATTTTTGATTTTTTAAAGGTGATTTCCAAGTTTGAAAAAGTGGTAAAAGCCACTTTTTGATTTATTTCTCCTTACAAAATTGTATTTTTTTTCCCCGAGTGAAATACACGTTCAAACACAATTTCAAACCCCTACTATAAATGAAATGACCCTTCTTAGTCTTGATTCTGAACTGAACATATCCCTTTTGGTCATTTTTCAATGAAGCTTTAGCCTTCCTTGGTAAAGCTATAATTTGTGTGAAAAACCTCTCTAGTTTACTCACAATTCTAATGTTAGCAACAGTGTCAGCAGCAAAGTTGACTTCCCACAGTTCCCTGTAACAGTTTAAAAATTAAAGACAACAAATTAAAAACAAATCAAATGGAAAAGATTCTCCACAAAGTTTTATGAGGATAAATTGATAGTAAAATATAAATCCAAGGGAAAGCTTAGTTATACAATGAGTATGAGTCATTTTCCAACGAGAATCAAGTAAAGTTGCTTGCTTTTCCCTAATAAGCACACATTAATATTTTAAAGTTACTCTTTGTAACAAAATTCTTGTCTAGAAAAGAATAGAAGAAACTTGTTCTAAAGTGCGTTTTTTTTTCTTTGAGTTTCTTTTTCATGGTGGTAATTAGTCTAGATTTTGCCATAAATTGCCCCCTAGAACCCACTATAATATATAAGCTTTTAATAACTGGCTAGAACAGGATTCCATTTTAGACACGACCACAAATATGCTCCCCCTATCTAAGGCTAATTTTATAGTAAATGATTAGAGTTGAGGCACACCGCACAAGACCTTTCTTTTAGTAAACATTTATTCGCACCAATGTAATTTTATAAATGCACCCCATCAATAGAAGCATGATATGTGCTTGCCTATAAATTTCTTTCACCAAACCATGGTTAAATGTTACATATTTTTACCTCGTTAAATTACTTAATCGTGGTAAGTTAATATGGTTTGATCTTAATGCGGATAAATTGTTACCCTTTTTTATATGAACATTGGTGGTAGATGCGTTTAAATTTCATCTATCGCCCAATATTTGTGCGAGTTAAACAGAATATGATATTTATTCTATGGCCTAAATAGCATTTGTTGAAATCTGAAAAAAAGAGACCATAGAGCACAAAGAAAATCCTCCTACAATAATAAAAAAAAAAAAAACCTATTATGTGACAGAATTTTTATGATAGACATGTCTGTCACAAAATTCTGATAGATTTGTGACGGTTTTATTTTTTAATCAATTTGTGACGATTTTATGATGGTGTTATTCTTCTGTCACAATTTTTTTATGACCCTCAAATTTGAGATGAAATTATAACGAAATATCCTTCATAAATATTGTCTTTAAATTTTTCTTTCTCAAATTTCAATGAATGATTTCCCTAAGCGCTTGCTTTAGAAGTACAAAGGCGTCTTTGTGATTCGGGATTCAAATTTTATGGGTTCATGTCTACTATTTATAGTAATTTTAATAAAGTTTTACATATAAATTTATACTTTGCATCAAAAGTTATAGATTTAATTGAATCTGTACCTAAAACGGTACATCCGCACTTTCATATGAACAAGAAAAATTAGAAAGAAAGATAGGAAAAATAAACATGTGCATATACATACAAACATATTCGTGACAATTCCGAAAGTCTTATTGTATACGGGCAAACTCGGTGTCAGCACACACTCCAAGTTCTCGGTGAGTCAAACGAAATAAGAAGTATGAAGGGATGATATAGAGACTGAATTTGAGAATTCTTCGAATCGAGGTTGGAATGGGGGTGCTCGCCACCGATCCTGACAAGACAACACCCCAAACCCGGAACGACCTCCAAGATAACGGAAAGCACTACAAATGATTACACACGACTAACGGAAGGCCGTAATATCGGCGCCCAACCGGATATCACGGCGCGGATCTCGCCCGATGTCAGTAGCGTATCAATGATTGATGTACAAGGAGGATTTTTATCTTTTTAGAATCGTACTAGGGGTAAAACTCCCCTACTATATAAATGGGAGATTTCTTATTCAATAGGGATATTGTAACACGCATATCAAGGCTATACAAATTTATTTCTCTGCTTTTTAGTTATTGAAAGGTTCTTATTTTAATCATAAATTCTTCATCTATATTTGGTTTTGAGTCGATGGTCCGGTCGAGGATAAAACTATTGTTAAGCTAAAATTCGAGCCCGGACTCAATGTCATAACTGGTTTGGTTATTTATTTCTTCTTTAATTCATTTATCTAACATTTTTTATTATTTGTATTGAATCAATCCACATATCCTTAAAATCGCGTACAAATTTAATTGTTATCCGTTTCAGGAGTTAACAATTTGGCGCCCACCGTGGGACTAAGGATAATAGTGGTAGTTTGATACAAATCTCCATAACAAACTCTATTTTACACTTGTTCTTTAAGGTCTCAATTTCAGGTCAGTTTAAAAATGTCAAATTCTTAGTCTGCTCACTTGAACGTTGAGGCGGAGTCTGGCCATCCTGTTGAAAACAACAATCTGGTGCCTAGCAATAAGGTGCCCCCTGGTGATCCCAACGGAGTCCCAGTCAATGCTAACACGCAGGTAGCCATCAACGCCAACCTGCATACCGACCCCGACAACAGTGTTCGCGGAGGAGCCCGACCAACTGCTCAAGAGAGCCCAAAGGCGAAGGCGACGGGGTCAGTCTACGGTTGATCTTCGAAATGTTGCAGGCTCAACATGCGGCGATAGCGCATCTGAAAAATCAAAACCGGCCCCAGTAGAGTTGAGCCCGAACCATCCCCGGAAAACACTCGAAGAAATGAGCAGATCACCGAAAGGCCAGGTGAAACTGAGTCCGGTGTCAGCCCCGAAGTAATGAAAATGCTTGAAGCAATAACGAAACGGGTGGAATCAAGTGAAAATAAAATTGAGTCAAGCGACAAAAAGGTGGAGACATATAATTCCCGGGTCGATCAAATCCAAGGAGCGCCCCCCCATATTAAAAGGCCGAGACTCCAAAACATTTGTTCAAAAGCATTTTCCTCCGACCGCGGCACTGAATCCAATCCCGAAGAGGTTTCGTATGCCCGATATTCCAAAATATAATGGAACCATGGATCCGAAGGAGCATGTGACCTCCTACACACGCACCATCAAAGGAAACGACTTGAAAGACGGTGAAATCGAGTCAGTGTTATTAAAGAAGTTCGGGGAAACTCTGTCAAATGGAGCGATGATATGGTACCACAACTTGCCCCCAAATTCCATTGATTCGTTCGCTATGCTCGTGGATGCTTTTGTAAAGCCTCATGCCGGGGCTATCAAGGTCGAGACCAGGAAATCAGATCTTTTCAAGGTTAAGTAGAGGGACAACGAGATACTGAGGGAGTTCGTGTTAAGAATTCAAATGGATAGAAACTAAGAGTCCACCAAACTGTATAGAGAACCAGGTTCTCTATCAGTTCCCACAGTAAGTAACAGACTATAAAACCAAACAGTATAGGGAACCAGGTTCTCTATCTGTACCCATAGTAAATCGGTAGTAAATAAAGAACACGCGATATTTACGTGAAAAACTCCTTGCTCAAGGGATAAAAAACCACGACCTACCCTAGTAGGATTTCAACTCCACTAAACCGAGCAAACTTCAGATTAAAACCTATGCAACCTAGAAATTAACCTCTTAATCCCTCACTAACTTGTAATACTTTATTACAAGCCACTTTGTAATAACTTTATTACAAAGACTTTGGTATCCCTCTCTAACTTGTAACACACCTATTACAAGCCACTTTGTAATACCCTCTGAAGAGTTGAGTTATATCCCACGCTGGATCCCAACCTGGAACTTTGTGATCTTAAAGTCTTGTAAATGTGTAACAGGTTCCTTATCTGGTTCTGGATGGTAAGTTTGTTAGATCATCAAAATAAAAAGTAAAGTACTTATGACCAAAGTACTTGTAACCTATCAATTTTCCCCTTTTTGATGATGACAAACTTAGAATTAATATTCCCCTGAGAATCAGATCTCCATATTGTTCCCCCTACGAATCAGCCATATTCCCCATGAGAACCAGACCAAAGGAACTGATCACAACTGGTTCCTCAAGATTGTTTGGCAAATCATCAAAACACAAAATAATATAACTTATCAATTTCCCCCTTTTTGATGATGACAAACCCAAAATTAATGTCCCCCTTGAGAAACAGATTCCTCATATGTTTCCCTGCGGATCAGACCTATAATCAACATGTTAGCAGCAATGTTCCCCCTGCGAAGAAGAGCTATCTTTCATGTACAATACAACATATCAATTCGATTATGTTCCCCTTGCTAACTTCCCCCTTTTGGCATCATTGAAAAGAATAACAGAAGAAACACAACAAAAAAGAAGTTCAGCAACATTAACTCATGCCACTTAGGCAACACAACATAAACAATAACAAGAACAACAAGTGAATATCATTGCACAAAATAGAGTGATTACCCATAGTAGAGTAATTATAATAAAAGCGCAGTAGTTTCAACAATACATAATATGACAATTTAAACAACTAAAGTACCAATGTCA